CAAAAAAAAAAAAAAAAAGAACAAAAAGGGCCAGGGATTTAGTGTTTAGTGGCAGCCCACCTGCCCGGTGAGTGCAAGGTCCTGAGTTCCATTCCCATTACTAAATACAAAGGAGATTTTTTTGGGGGGTGGGGGTACCAGGGAATCAAACTCGGGACCTTGTGCTTGAGAGGCAGACAGCAGAACCACTGAGCTAAATAAATCCCTGGCCCAAGAATTTTAAAAAATTGTTATATAAATGAACTCTCACTGACTTTATTTCTTTCAGTATCAAAAATACTAGAATCCTATTTTGGGTTCCCAGACTTTCACTGATTGATTAAAAACATTTTGATAAACTCTTTCTTCTTTGGTTTTTTGAGACAGGACACGGAAGCAGCAGATAGTCAGACATGGTGAACCTTTTAGAGCTTTTCAGTGATACAAACAGCTTCCGTAGCACTCGTGCCTTAGGTTCACTGCCACTGCCATATATCAACCACCCCCAGCTTGAACTTGCTATATGTATTCCAGGTTGGCCTTCTACTTGAGATCGTCCTGCTCTCCCAAGCTTTGGGATTAAAAGGTTTGCATCACCACACTTTTGCTTGTGTAACTTTCCAGAGGCCGAGACAGGAAAATCACCACAAATTACAGGCCAGCCTGAAAGATCCTGTCTCAAAACACAAACAAAAATGATAAAGTATGCTATACCTGTAGTGTCTTTTTAGACATTAGATAATTTTATATGTATATTTTCTCAACTTTTATTTTTGGTACTAGGGAAAAAACCCAGGGTTTTCATGCATGTATCACTAGGCTATATCCCCAGACCCTCAACATTTACTTTAGAACATGAATTGCACCTTTAGACCCAATGACATGAGGTTTATTACATAAACGTGACTCTAGGGCTCCAGAGATGGAGACAACAGCATTTAATGATTTATATCCTACTTTTTTTATATGACTATCACTACCTCTAAAACCTACATATATGCTTTTCTAATAAGCTCACAGCCAACATGTCCTAACAGGTTCCACTAGGGCCAGACTGCTCAGCCCTAGCTCCCTTCTTTCTCACATCCAGATTCTGAGGCGTTACCTGTCTTCCACTCACATTCCTAAAACACCTTGAGTGTGATCACCTGTAAGTGCGGTACTCTACTGAAGACAGCCATGGAGGCAGCCAGGTGGCAGTAATAATTTATACACAGTTATGACTGCCAAGCTCCGTTCTGTCTCACCACGCAGATGTATAGGTCTTGGTGAATGTAATTGGCTTTCGTAATAGGCTAAAGCTGGGAAAATAGACTTTCCTCCGTCACAAAAGCTCTGTCACCAAAAGTTTACCCATTTTATTATTTTCAAAACCTTTAAGAGTAGGAAGACAGCTGCTATAAGCGGAGGCATTTCTCAACAAAAGAGAACCTAGTGTTTTATCAAATTTGACCTGCCTTATAAATGAGGAATTGAGACGCAGTGAGGTGGTAGCAGAGTTAGGACAATCTTAAGTACTACAATGACCCCTTATTTCATTAAATGCCTATTAGTAGGCAGGTATATAAAGGGGAGGGTAAAGCAACGCAAAGGAGTTCAGAAACAGGGGAGATTGCAGCTTCTGACAATAGCCTCCTGAGACTAAGGTTGTCTTGTGCAACCATAGCTGATGAAAGACAGAGTAAAATGGAACGCATCTTACCTGATGTAAACACGGCCAACTGCCAGTGAGTCCCAAGGGCAACCAGTCATCAAAGAGAAGGGGACAAGGGGGGAAAAAAAAGGCTTTCATTAGCAGAAACTCTTGATGAATAGAGTGAGAGCACCAGAATGGAAAAAATAGGGAAAACAAGGCAACACATTCCCACTGAAGTTTTATAGGGATTACTGGCACCAGAAATTAGACATTATAGGAAAATCAAGACAGTGAAGACAAGATCCCCGTCTCTACCCCTGTGACCCCACTGCACATGTGGACCCAGAAGGCCCAGGCCATTCAGGTAGCCCTCAGTCATTACAGCCTCTGAAAAAAATCCAAAAACTAAGTATCGTCTGTAGAAAAATGCATTTTGCCAGGCGTGGTGGCACGTGCCTGTAGTCCCAGCTACACAGGTGGTTGAGGTGGGAGAATCGCTGGAGTCCAGGAGTTCGGGGCTGCAGTGCGCTACGCTGATCCGGTGTCCACACTAAAGTTCAACATCAATACGGTAACCTCCTGGGAGTGGGGACCACCAGGGTGCCTAAGGAGGGATGAACTGGCCCAGGTCAGAAATGGAGCAGGTCAAAACTCCCATGCTGATTAGAAAATTGCATTTTGATACAGAGCATGCAAGCATACATGTACATACATACATATTTTACTTCCAATTTCAGTAGGTTCAGAGCTTTCTCAGGCTCACAAGGGATGCATGGACTCTCAGTCCAGATCCAGTTAAACAGTCTTCAGGCTGTCCACTGCCTTGATAACTCTGCTAGCAGGAAGTAGCTTAAAAGTTTAGGCCTACTCTAAAAATACTGTTATGCAATGGAAAGGATGGGAAAGCTACTTGACTGAAAGGGCTACCTTCAGTTTAGAGAGCTGCAGCCCAATGTCTCTCATTTTTCAAAGGAGGAAATCAAAGTTTAAAAACATGCAGTGACTTGCACCAGAACTAAAAACACTATCCAGACTTCCAGTTTACTGCCTCTCAACATCCAGTACTATATTAAAAAAGTGTCATTCACAGAATTGAAGGAAAAGACTCAGAATTTTAATATTTTTTCTCTCATTACTTAATTCACTCAAAAACATCTATTGCACACCTATTATTCACTAGGGCAGTGGAAAATGCAGATGTGGGTTTGGTCCCTCACACATCATGTTTTCTTTAGCTGAGTAAACCATGGGCTCAGGACAGCTCCTTTCCCAACTCTTAAACCAGTTCAGTGTCACAAAGCAGATACCCAATTTTCCTGTATATAAGATGCCTCACATCTGACTTCAATACTAATTTTTCAAATGTCATTCTAACCTGAATGGAGTGTAACCCAAATCATGGCAGATTTTCATTGGCAGCTCCCCTCAAAGGTGCTGAGTAAGAAGTGGAGGTGAATAAAAGACCCTCAGAGGAAAGTTTAGGATTATAACAATGATAGGGATTCCTCCCATTTATTAAGCACTTACTGTGTGACAGGATATGGCTGAATAGCTTTTCATTTGTTAATGTCACTGGATGGTCACATTAACCTACCAGAGGGTATAATTATCTCCACTTTACAGATGAAGAAACTACAGTACTACACAGAGAAGCTAGCAGATTTGCCCATACACACCACCTAGTCTGGTAGCATCTGTATCATTTTAAAATCGGTGGTCCTTCCAATGGTATTATGCCTCTTAATTCTGTCACTCAGTAAGACTTGGTTTTATGATACTCTGAAAGTATTTCCAATTTGATACAGCTGATTACAACAGTTTCACAAGGAAGATTAGGGCAGGACCCCTAAGAACAACAAAATCTCTGCACAGTTCTATTAATATCAATAAATTTATCTTTTACACTGGTGCCAAGTTCAACACCTCTAAATACTGCTTAAATGATCTTCATTTCACACTATTTTCTTCCTCAAAAATATTCATTAGCTCTATGTCCTCAGTCAAATCTGAGTTTGATTATCTAGCCCAACCCTCTACAGCCATTCTTCTTTCCTGATACGTCCAGCCTATCTAGGGGACTTGAGAGGTAAACAGCGTTTCAGGGGAATACAACAATGCACGTGTCTGTTCCTAGAAAATGCCCTTCTTGGGAGGCCATGCACTCTTTGTCTTACCTGTCACTCATACCTCTGTACTTTCAAGGTTCCCCTTCCTTTTTCAAGGTTCAGTCCAAAAATCTCAAGAGAAAAAAAGCAAAAAAAACAAGCACAGCATTCTCCCAAGTTCTCAGAGCCCACAGGGGCTTCTGTAGTCATCAAGGCTAAAATAGACAAAAATCCTGCTCCTTCATTTTGATGTACACATAAAATAGTGATAATTATGGTCAGTTAACCAGGTAACACATAGTATGTGCTGCATGTTTTGTACTCTTCTAAGCCTTTTATATATTCTGGGTTATTTATTACTCACACACAACCCTGTAAAATGAGGCAGAGTATGTATAAGCACCTTGTCCAAAGTCAATTAATGGGGAGATGACAGCGCCAAGATTTATGGGGAGAAAATCTGGTTCCACAAGTCCTTGGCATAACCATTGTGCTCCACTGCCACTGCCTCTAGGTTCAGCACACCACGTGGCAGGTACTAAGCACTCACTAAATGACATCATTACTGGAGAAACGGGGAGAAGCAGCTCAGTGTGGAGACAATATTTGCCCAAAGTCACCCAGCTTATCAGCAGCAGAGTTGGGATGGGAACCTAGGTCTTCTGCTCCTTTAGCCTGAAGGTATCAGGACCCAAGGGGACAAGAAGCCTCTGCTCTTAAACTGCCCAGGGCCGTGGGCTTTCCAAACTTTGTAGCACAATCTCTGGGATGGCAGCAGGGATACTGACCAGAAGAGGTGGCCACACAGGCTGATGACAGCGTCCTTGGCTGTGTCCAGGCATATGTTGCACTCGAAGGTGCTGTCCTGCCCTCCACTCTCGCCGCTGCCATTGCTGCTCCCACTGGGTCCTCCTGCACTGGAGTTCTCAGGGGATGCGGAGGCTGAGGGCCCCTTGCTTGCCATCCTTGGCTATCAGCAAATCTCTGAGTGAAGATTCTCTCCAGGAAAATCCTGAAAGGCAGAAAACCCTTGATTGCCCACTTCTTCTTCTTCGTCTTGTTCTTTTTTGGTACTGGGGATCAAACTTGGGTCCTTGTGATTGTGAGGGAGGTAGATTGCCCACTTCTTTACCCCACTTCCCCTGGCATCTATATCAAAATTCCCATCTTCTCTCAGTAACAAAAGCTAATTATGACTACTAAGCAGACTTTCCAGAGAGATGCAGAGGACATCAGTTGTGGGGCAGTAACCATGAACTTATCATGAATGTGGGGGAGAATATACCTCACAAAGAAACTGCAAAAATCCTGCATAGGGCCAGGGATTTAGCTTAGCGGCACCATGTCTGCCTCTCAAGCACAAGGTCCTGAGTTCAATCCCCAGTACGGTATGTGGGGGGAGTGTGTGTGTGTGTGTGTGTGTGTGTGTGTGTGTTCCTGAGCAGCCTCTGGATCATTTTCCATGGGAGCTGTCATTATCTTTATTCTGTGATAACCCAGACGATAAATACATGGTCAATTAAATTTAACTTTCAGGCTGTCTTCTAACTTTGGACAGCCTCTAAATTGGCCAAGAGAAGGAAATCTGCGCAAGTTGGTGACTGATGTACTTCAGAATATAAAGAGATATTCCTGTAACTACGGAAGGGTAGCAGGGTAGGAGTCCAGATGATGGCTTTCCACACTGCACTCTTCTTCACTCCATCTGCCATGTTGGAGTGAATACTACCTATCTCAACTGAATTTATCAACATTTTAGCCTCAATACATTAAAATACACTGCCATAAATGAAAAACCAGTATTACTTATTGTAAGTGAAAGACAGGTAGGTATAAGTGTAATAAAGAAAAAGTTATTTAGCCTTATACCAAGTCACCTGGCACCCTTAGGCTATGCTCTGGCTAATAATGATCTGATTCAAATCTCCTTAGCAAACTGCAGCCTGAGTTCCCTTGGCCAGTGTGGAACTGAGACTAATGCATTTGTATTTAAACCACTGTACTACTACCGACCAAGCTGACCACCAAGGCCCTATCAGGGCCTTTGCGCTCCGAGCTACATTCACAACCTTTAAAAAATTTTAAGTGGCCTGGTCTGGGCTCCAGTCTGTGATCTTCCTGCCTCAGCCTGCCACAGAGTTGGCCTTACAGGTGGGTGCCATCAAGCCCAGCCAAAATGAACCATTGCTGACTAACACTTTCAAGTCAACCCAGCCAGGAGTATAAAAAAGAGGGCAAGACCAGCACAAAGGGATACCCACAAATTCTGAATGCACATTAAGAATCTGTCAGGAAGGGCCGGAGGTTTAACTCAAGGGCACCAGCACCTGCCAGGCAAGCGCAAAGTCCTGAGTTTGATCCCTGGTTACACACACATGCACGCACGCACAAAAGCATCTGTTAGGAGGTTGATCTGGCCAATTGGCCACCCTAATCTCAGAAATTCCAAGTAGAAAATGCTGAATGGCTGCCATAGTCAGAGAACAGGAGTTTTAGTGCTGGCTGTGGCCAAGACTCCAGCTTGCTAGGAGCCAAGCACATTCTTGCTGGCTAAATTTTTTTTTTTTTTTTTGGTACCGGGGATCGAACTCAGGTACTTGTGCTTGCAAAGGCAGGCGACGGAACCACTGAGTTAAATCCCCAGCCCTTGCTGGCTAAATTTTTCTCACCTGTAAAAATGGTTCCCCCTCCCAAACATTTACGACTGGGCCACTCCAATTAATCTCACCCTCTGTCTCCAAAAACAAGCAGCCTTTCCATAAGTGTAGGACTCACCACTGCAGCACCAAAAGACCACCGTGATTTCAGCTTTCAAAGTACAAAGAGATAAAGATCAAATATGATGCAGTCCTCTCAGACTTCCTTCTACCAAGTCTTCACAGAGCAGACTGAGAGCTCCGGGCTCATGAGAAACTCACTAAGACAGCAGCTCAGAGACTTCAGCAGGGAGAAGAGCCAACTCACTGCCACTTTTTCACTCAGTTACATCATTTTACGTGATGTCCCAGAAGGGCATGTGGCTGCTGACAGAACCAGTACTTTACTGGCCTCAGCTCCAAGCCTTCTCCCTGACCAGGAGTCTCCTCCTTCTCCATACACATCAGCTCTCTTTGCCTAAACATAAAGTTTGCTTTTCTAGATATTCTGGTTGAAGAATCCTAAGTACCTGATTCATGTGCATCCCCTCACCTTCATTTATGGCGCTGGGTATTGAACGGAGGGCCTCACACATGCTAGGCAAGTACTCTTCCACGGAGTTGTACTCCTAGAGCTAGTGTCTTCTTGTTCAAAATATTTTATCTTTTGAAATTAATAACTATGTAAAAGATGAGGAAAAGACTACACAAAGTCAAGCTCACCAATCAATTTTAATAGCTTCTTGACCTGATCCAATAGGAAATACACAGGAACATCAATGAAGTGCTAATCAAGACTATCAAAGACTCTAATCAAGCTATAAGAATTACTGATTTTCAGAAAGGATGCATGTATTAATTCCAGAGCATATAATCAGCCAACTCCCTCTAACTCCAGGATTAATAACTCAAGTTCTCCAACAAATAAATAACATTGGTAGGGCTCAGAGGTAAAGGCTGAGATATGAGACATATAACTACCTGCAGTGTGTGGATCTTACTAGAACCAGATTCAAATAAGACAAATGTAAAATGATACCTGTGAAATCTCTGACAAAAAGTTGGATTTTGCTTTTGTAGTAGTTGATATAAGACAGATTGTTGATAAAATAAAACCAACCCAGTTGACAACAAAAAAGAATTACATCTAAGTGGGTGTGGTGACACATGCCTGTAATCCCATTACTCTGGGATGAGGCAGGAGGATCACAAGCATCCAGCCTTGGCAACTGAGCAACTTAGGGAGACTCTTAAAAAAAAAAAGTATTGGACTTTGAAATCCCAACAAAACAGAATATTGAGAACATTAAAAATTTTTCCTCAAGTTAGGTGTTGGGCTCAAGCCTATAACTGTAGTACTTGGGAGGCTGAGGCAGAAGGATTAATTCAAGGCTACATAGTAGGTCAAGGCCAGCCTTGACTACATAGTGAGACCCTGTCTAAAAAAGAAGTTGCAGGTTTGAACTCAGGACCTTGCATTTATGAGGCAGGCAGCGGCACCACTGAGCTAAATCCCCAGCCCCAAATTTCTTTTATCTAAAAAGTGAGGGTATTATGCCTCCTATAGGGTTACTGAGGTGGTTCTATGAGATAATACTGAGGTAGCTCTATGAGATAACATGGTGACCTGGAGGGCATACCACAGTGGGAGAGGGGGGCTGCTGCTGCTGAGGAGGTCCACACATAAACCACAAGCCTCTGAACAGTTCATACTCCCATACACAAACATAAACAACAAGCTAGGGTCAAAGCATGTGTCAGGGCAGGAATAGTCAGGAGACAATCACAGGTCAGCTTAGTGTTTGTGAGGTGTGGCACCTTTGCAGCAGGCAGCACAGATACAGGCTTGTATGTCCAAAGTTACATCATATCATTCTCATTCTAATTTTTGTTAGATTGACTATGTGGTCCCTTTCCTGGGCTCAGGAATCTCATCCCGGTTGGCATTCAAATGTTTGCTGAGTCGATGACACGGTATGTATGACTCGTTTCAGTCAACTGCCAGAACAGCTGCTCTTAAACCTTCTACGTAATATATCCTGGGCTCCAGAGCCACACAAACATCACTAAAGGATCCTCTCCTTACCTCTTCTCTAACTCCATGCACAGGTACCTCACCACATGAGGATGGGATGGCAGAGATGAGTAACCTCCCCTGGCTACTGTCGACAGAATATCTGTGGAACAAAAGAATGTGGCCACAGTCTCATGGGCTCTAAGGGCTAGGACAGGAGCCCAAAAACAGAGGCCCCTGGTTGTATCAGGAATTGGACAAGAGTAAAAGAAGAAACAGGGCCTTGGCATACCCAAGTTGTTGTCCTACTAAAAGCAGCCTATAAACTTTGACATGATCACATGGCAACCATATTGTGGATAGTTCTGGGTCCTATTCCTTTTCTTTTTTTTTTTTTTTTTTTTTTTTTTTTTTTGGCTACATTGCCCAAGTTGGTCTTGAACTTTGAGTTCCAGTGATTCTCCTACCTCAGCCTCCTGAGTTCTGAAATCTGTATTTTGTTAATATGTCCCTCTCTCTACCCTGGATCACTTTCTGATGAGCAGTTCCTGAAACACAGCTCTAGAATAAGGAGAACTCTTCCAAAAGCAAAAAGCAATAGCAGCACGATAGTGTTTGAGACGGACAATAACCTCAAACCCTATCCTTCTGAATGCATGATACTTATCTACAATCCACAGGGACTGCAAAGAAGTCAGATAAATTGGGGTGGGAGACCAGTCTGCTGAGATCTTCCATCAGCTAACACTTAGTCCAAGACAGACAACCAATTTAAGATACAAGTTCCAAACTGGGTGTTGTGGCACAAGCCTGTAGTTACAGCACTCAGGAATCTGAGGCATGAGGATGGCTGCAAGTTTGAGGCCAGCGTAGGCTATATAGTGAGACTCTGTCTCAAAAATAAAAACAAAACAAACAGAAAATAAGCAAGTTCACATCTACTTTAGAGAAACATTGGATTTGTGATGCCAGCATGACCCATTTGGGACTAAGGCAGATTTACAATACTTAATGATCTGTTAGGAGTACACGGCCTGATTATGACTGACCCAGCATTCTCACTATTACCTCCTAAAGCTGGCCTTTGTTCTGCCTGTCCTCACCTACCTCACAGGAACTGAGTAAGACAATAATGTCCCTGCAGGAACCACCAAAGAACTCAACCTCATGAGGAAATCTCTTTGTAGTGTTGTGTTCAGTTCTCAGGGTCTAGCAAACCACAGGAAATCATAATTTGCCTTCTCTGCTCTATTTAACCCCAAGAATTCCTGGACCGGATATAAAGAGGCACCCAGAAATTTTGTTGTTGTGTTTTTTTTTTTGTTTTGTTTTGTTTTGTTTTGTTTTTTTGGTACTGGGGATTGAACTCAGATCTTGTGCTTGCAAGGCAGGCGGTGGAACCACTGAGCTAAATCCCCGGGCCCTTGGAAATGTTAATCTTAGTTAGGAAGATGAGTAATTTGGGTGATAAACAGCTCACATGATCCCAGCAGAGGTCTTGTCTTTGGGCACATGCCTATACATACAGAAGCTTTCTGCCAAGAACCTTGGCATGACTGATCCTGTCTGTACTGCTCATGAGGCTGCTGCTAGAGTGTAAGCAGAAATGAGACACAAATTTCAAGAACATCCACAGCACACTCACAGAAGGTTGGAGTGAGGAAAAATGAGTAAGTTGATTGGAACTTGGAACATGTAGAGAGCAGTTTTAAAATTTTAGAGAATGGTGTTTAGGTACCCATGCTAGTACTCAGAAAGCTATCCCTCAAATACAGGACAAATGACAAGGCTTTAAAAGTCCAGAAGGACAGAAAAGGCTAAGGGCTGGCTTTCTAGGAACTGCACTGGTTCTTTTCTCTAGTACCCTATAAGCTCTCTATTTACTCAACCATCCTTTATCACCTTCCAAGATTTATAAATGATCCTATTTTCCAGGTATTCGGGACATAGTTAAAAGGTCTCAGTCTAAGAGAGATACAGACAAGTAAATCAACAAGGCAATCTAGCATACCGGGTACTAACAAAGGTATGTACAGTGCACAAGGGCAGGGGATGCTGGGGAGGATGTGGATATAGCACACAAGGCCAGAGGACAACTCACTGCACAAGTCAAGTGCAATGTAGCTAGAGCCCAGGGAACACATAAGGATGGTAAGACAGCAAGAGCCAGGACTGTGAGGCAGGCAGGAAGGTGTCAAATCCCTAATGTCCTTCATACTGGTTCATACTGGCCTACCTGGTTCATACTCCCAACAGAGGCACCTAACCCAGCTTCCCTGCCCCATGTTCCAAAAGGCACTATGATTTTAATGTTTACTTCTGCTCCCATCCAGCTCCTATTCCCTAGCTAAATAAAATAATACATCTATATAATACATTATACTATGAAATTTTACGGTTTTATACTATCTTTCAAGCATGCTAGGTAAGCACTCTAAATTAAATCTCCAGCCCCACATTAGACAATCTTAAATCTATTAAGCATAGATTCCATTTTATTTCCAGAGAGATTTTGCTTACATGAGAGCTTTAAACACATGGCCTAATGTTATACAAAATAAACAGAATACAAAATTGTATTAAAAATTGAATGTTATATCAAAAAAAGGGAAAAAGAGGCCCAAAATATTAATTGTAGCTGTCTCTGAACAGTGGAATTATGTTTAAATTTCTTAAGGCTTGGCCAGATATGGTAGCACCATACTTGTAATCCGAGCCACTCCAGATGCTGAGGTAGAAGGGTTTCAAGTGTGAGGAGAACCTAGATAACTCAGCAAGACCTACAATAGCCAAATCTGGATTTCAAATTATATTACAAAGTTACAGTGATTAAAAACAGCATGGTACTGGCAAAAAAATAATCATGTTGATCAATGGAACAGAACTGAGGATGCAGAAACTACCCACATTTAGCTGTGGTTCTGCTGCCTGCCTTGCAAGTGCAAGGCCTGGAGTTTGATCCCCAGTACAAAACACACACACACACACACACACACACACACACACACACACTGCAAATTTCCAATGATGAATGTCATTACACTGTATACCTTAAATGTACCAATAAAATTAATTAAAAAAAGAAAAGAAAAGAAACATCTCCAAGCACCTCCAGGCATCTGATCTTTGACAAAGGGGCCAAAAGCATATGCTGGAGAAAATATAGCCTCTTTGGCTGGGAAAACAGATGAATACATCTGCAAAAGATTGAATCCAGACCCTTACTTCTCATCTTGTACTAAAATCAAATCAAGGGGCTGGGGATGAGTTTGATCCCCAGTACAACACACACACACACACAAAATCAAAATAAATCAAAGATCTAGATATAGCCTGGGATTTGGCTCAGTGGTTCTGCTGCCTGCCTTGCAAGCACAAGGTCCTGAGTCTGATCCCCAGTACCAAAAAAAAAAAAAAAAAAAAAAAAAAAAAAAAAAAAAAAAATAAAAAAAAAAAAAAAAAAAAAAAAAAAAAGATCTAAATATAAAAACAGAAACATTGGATGTGCTGGAAGATAAATTAGGTAAAAGTCTTGAAGACACAGGCACTGGCAAAGACTTTCTCAACAGAATCCCACTTGCATGAGAAATAACACAATGAGCTGGGGATTTAGCTCAGTGGCACTATGCCTGCCTAAGTGCAAGGTCCTGAGTTTGATCCCTGGTACCAAAAGAAAGAAATAACACCAACAACCAACAAATGGGATTATATGAAAAAGATTCTGCACATCAAAGGAGACAGAGTGAACAAACTATATAATTTTTGTCAGCTATTTCTCAGAGGACTATTATTTATAATACATAAAGAACTAAAAAAAAAAAAATTGGGCCAGGGATTTAGCTCAGTGGTTCTGCTGCATGACTCATAAGTACAAGGTCCTGAGATCAGTACAAAAAAAAGGAAAAAGGACAAACTTGGGGCCAGGAATTTAGCTCAGTGGTTCTAGTGCCTGCCTCGCAACTGCAAGGTTCCAATTTCAATCCCGGGTACAAAAAAAATCCAAAAAACAAAACTACAAATGCTATAAGGTTGAGGGGAAATGAACCCTTCTATACTGTTGATGGAATGTAAACTAGTAGAACCATTATGGAAATTATATGAAGAAGTCTCAAAAACTTAAAATTAGAAAACCCATTTGGTCCAGCTATACTTCTGGGTATCTTCTTAAAAGAGTTAAAGACATCATATTACAATGAAAGATGCTGTTATGGCTTGTGTCTAGGTGTCCCCCTAGAGACCCATGTGGTGGCTGGATCTAAAGTGTGTGATGCAAGGATCAAGAGTGTATGATTAACTAAACTAGTCCACTGATTGGTTTGGCACAGTTCTGGTTGTGGATAATGGGAAGGCCACCCTGAGTGTGAGTGCCACCCGCCTTAAAGATAGCCTGGATAGAATATCAAGGACAAAAAGAAGGGGGCTGTTGCAGCTCATTGCTTGCTGTGTGGTGACTGCACTTCACTGCTTTGCTGATTTCCTGCCTTCTGCCTGCCATGAGCTGTTTCTCCTCAGCAATAACCCTCTACCATGCCTCCCTACCTTGAATCCAGCCAACTATGAACTGAAACTTCTACAAACCAAAAATTTCTCCTCCTTTAACTTTGAGAGTTGTGTATTGTTTCAGTAACAAGAAAAGTATCTAAGACAGATGCGTGCCTGTGTTTACAGCAGCACAACTCATTAACTGTTAAATCTTGGAAGCAATCTATATGCCCATCAACAGATGACTGGATGACAAACCTTTTAAAGACCAAGTGCCCAAATTGCAAACCAAAACCCACTTATTTATTGCAAAGTGCAAACACTGCAATTAAACCTGAATACTGAGGTTTTCATTTATAAAAAAACAACTTATACATTTGGCTTGCGTGCATACAGACAGGGCTCTGTGTACTCACTGTGGCACATGTGTCATAGGTTCACCACCACTGCACTACAGTATTACCCAGCCACAAAAAAGGATAAATTGGAGCCATGTGTAGGAGGAATATGGATGCACCCTGACACCATAACACTAAGTGAAATAAATGAGGCACAGGTTAAATACCACATGGTTTCTCTTGTATAAGAGAAACAAACACATACTAATAAAAATAAATTATTTTAAGATAAACATAAATAAATAAAGTCAGGGGTATATAGCTTAGTAGTCACTCAATTCAG